TATCCACATGATCCATAACTGGCTAGCCGAATTAGAAAACCCTGGTTCAACTATCAGATGTTGTATGATTGACTTTTCGAAAGCCTTTGATCGCATCAATCACAATATTTTACTTCATAAATTACAACAACTCAACATCCCTCCTATCTTGTTGAATTGGTGCGCTGAGTTCCTGCATGACCGATATTTACGTGTCAAGCTTGGCCAGAATAAATCAACATGGCGACAAATAAATGCAGGGGTTCCACAAGGTACAAAACTTGGACCCCTTTTCTTCCTTGTGATGATAAATGACTTACAAACCAACACTCCAATGTACAAATATGTCGATGACTGCTCCACATACGAAATCGTTTCAAGATCGTCCCCTACTTCATCGCTTCAAGCTAATATAAACACTATAAATGACTGGACCAATCACAACAACATGCGGCTTAATGTATCTAAAACCAAAGAACTGCGTATATCCTTTCTTAGAGTCCCTATGGTATTCGATGCCCTCTCTTCATCTGGTTTAAACATAGAAATCGTCCAGACCTTCAAACTTCTGGGAGTGATAATATCATCGGATCTTACCTGGAATGCGCACATTGATTACATCTGCACCAAAGCAAGTAAACGTCTTTATGCTCTAAGGATCCTCAAACGATCTGGTGCCCCAGCCAATGATTTAATACCGGTCTTTTGTGCATTTATTCGTCCAGTTTTGGAATACGCCTCACCTGTATGGCATTTTTCTCTCCCTCAATTCCTCGCTGATCAAATCGAGAGTATACAAAAACGTGCATTGAAAATCGCTTTCCCCCAGTCCTCCCATACTACCTCACTAAGAAACACTGGCCTTCTTACACTTTACCAGCGAAGAGAGAATCAGTGCTTGTCATTCTATAAGAATATCCATCAACACTCAGACGATAAGTTGAGAACGCTACTTCCCAGTGCTATATCTCACAAATTCAGTCTAAGAAATAAACGCACTTATCCTATGTATACGTGCAAAACTGAACGATATAAGAACAGTTTTATCCCAAAGTGTGTTAGAAACTGGGACCGACCATAGACATAACAAAATATTTTATAGTACATATCATTAATATAGTTTATATTATAGTAGTTTTAAATTGAACTTTTTGCAAATTTAAAAATTTTAATACTATCTATGTAATATCACGTTTTTTAAATTTTTATTAATTTACAATGTGGTAATTATTAAAATCAATCAATCAATATATATATATATATATATATATATATATATATATATATATATATATATATATATATATATATATATATATATATATATATATATATATATATATATATATATATATATATATATATAGATCAGGGAGAAATAGGTTCACTAGTGAGAGGCCTGGGAATGAAAGTGGATCTTGGGATTTTTTGTGAAAAAACACGGAATCTTGGGATTTTTTGAGCTTTCATTGGGATTTTTACAAAGTTGGACCTGGCAACGCTGATGCCCAGTCTTTTCACGTAACGGAAATGAACGCGGGTTTTTTAAATTTCCAAAACTGGGTAAAAAAATGCACTAAAACATGGTTTAAGACGACGTAAAATGCACCTACCAGTACAGTTTTTACAATAAAAACATCCTTCAAAACTCTAGGGTAAAATATTTTTAATTTATTTGTGTAGAATTCATAATTAAATTTCCTTTTTTGAGAAAAAACGTTGAGGGAGGAGTGGAGCTTGCCGTGGTCTAATCATAAAGTATTTGTGTGAATTTCCCTATTTTGCTCATTCGTTTTCCAATTTATTCGTCTGAAAGTTAGGAAAAAAGGTATTCTACCAAGTTCAAACTACCAACCACAGTTTAATTATGTTTTGTAGTAGAGTATTTATTAAGTTTTACAACAAATATAAACATTAAAGACATTAAGAAAGTTTTTTTCGCGGACAAGTATTTCATGTTGCGATTATTCACATTCGGCAAGAAATAATACACAGAACAAGTCGTCAACGAAGGCAAACAAAGTGATAGATACAGATAAATAACCTTATCTTGTTTAACAATCAATGAAGTTGTTATAAATATAGGGGGTACCTAAAGTCCTAAATATCGAGTCAGGATTCGAGCCAGGACTCGAGCCAGGACTCGATTCAGGACTCGAGCCAAAAATGACGTCAAGTGATTTTGATGGATGAAAATTTACCAACAGCGTTCTCACTTTTAAGGAACTTTCCTTAAATTTAGACTATTCGTTCACTAACAATGCGAAATGTTTAAGGAAATTTAACTGAATCTGAGGAATTGTTTATCGATAACCTAAGGAATGTTTGGCAAATGGGAAGTGACCCCCGGGGTTGAACTCGGCCCTGTTAACTGGGTTGAAATTTTTTGCGATTACATGGACGATTTCAACCCCGGGGTTAAAACGTTATACTATACGTTCTCGGCATCGATTCGCGGAAGTAAAAAAGCCTTTATTTTGTTTTCTTGTAATAAATAGTCACTACCACGCATGCTCGAATAACTCATTATAATTTCAGCCCTGGGTTGAAACGATTACATGACAAAATTTTCAACCCAAGACTGAGTTCAACCCCGGGGTTGAAATTTCAACCTTGCTATAGCTGAAGCAGGGTTGAAATTTCAACCCCGGGGTTGAACTCAGCCCTGGGTTGAAAATTTTGTCATGTAATCGCGCGTTTGATTTTGATAGAGTTTTGTATGCAGACAGGGCTGAAATTTCAACCCGGTAAACAGGGCTGAGTTCAACCCCGGGGTTGAAAATGCTCCATGTAATCGGCCCCTTACAAATCCTTAAGAACTTAGAAACTCCTAGTGTTAGTACTGTGATCACAGGCGGAAAGTTTGATAGGAAACTAGCCTTTATGTAAGCAATCCATATCTACTCACCACAGTAAACGCCGTACATAAGATAGAAAAAGTACCGAAAGCTCCAATGAATTGATGGATTCGATCATGTTCTTCTGCAGTAAATATTGGATTCTCGCATTGAATACCGCATCCGTGAATACCTTCATACCAGCTCTCTTCGTCTTCTGTATACACCAGAGGCGCTGGACAAGTTGTTTGGTTGTTTTTCGATATCTAGATTTGAATTTTCAAAGGCAAATATATGAAGAGTAAATAGAAGATGATTCCACTAAAATTAGGCAAGAACAAAATTAAATCGATCAGCACAGCTAGAAAGAGCATGTTAAAATTGGCGAAATGGCAAAGTTTGGCCGCGAAATAAATGTTGTAAAATGCGGAAAATATAAGCTATAGCCCAGCGAAATTTGAAAATGTTGTATTAATTTGTATTACGCGCGGGAAAATGCACCATATGCTTGTATTAGCGTGCTTATGAGAATCCCTCTCATAAGCACGCTCATATAATATGATTGTATTATCGTGCTTATGCGAATCCCTCTCATAAGGACGTTCATATATGCTTGTATTAGCGTGCTTATGAGAATCCCTTATTTTGGTGTCTCATAAGCACGCTGATATATGCTTGTATTAGCGTGCTTATGAGAATCCCTCTCATAAGCACGCTCATATATCAGGGCCGTAGCAACCGGGGGGGCTGGGGGGGCTGCAGCCCCCCCCCCCAATAATTTGCTAATAATCATTCTTTTTTCAAAATCATGAAAACTTTATCATTTAATCTGTGACAAACTGCAAAGAATGAAGATATTACTCATACTCCAGATCGTTCCTCGTGTAGAAATTTTAGATGAATTTCTGTCGCGCATTTTCAAGAAAATCCCACAAAATCTGCACATTTTTGATGAACTAATGATTTATTTTGTCTTTTGCGTGTTGGGTCTTGCGAAAGAAAACTCTGAAAATGCCATTTCAGACCATCTAGAGACTCCAGATTTTCGAAATTTTCTCAAATGTTCTCGGCCTTCATTTCCGCGCAACTGCCATTTACGACGAAAATTCCCGCCGCGCATTTATAATACTACAGTCTGGCCCATACTTTCCTGTAAATTTCGACATACTAAAACGCTGTTTTCTGATTATCAGAATTCTGTTAAATCTTCCCCCAAAGTCCAGGAAATGGCATTTTAGAGACTCTAAATTTAAAAATTTCCTCGGGCCTTCGGCCCTCGCTTTCAGCCCCCCCAATCGAAAAGAGCTTCCTACGGCCCTGATCATACATGAATAATGTTACACTGCAGAATAATGTTACACAGAGGTATTAAGGTAGAGTAATACAGACAACAAAATTGCTGCAATTTGCAACAAAATCTGATTTCAACGGATGTTAAGTGGAGATGTTGACACATAACTAATAATACAAGTCATAGAAATGTTGACACATGTTGCCTCGTACATGCGTTGAAATCAGATTTTGTTGCAAGTTGCAGCAATTTTGTTGCTCGTATTTACTCCAGCTTTACACTGAATATACCAACGGTTTTCAACTGGTTTTCTCATGTGTCCCCGATTTCACATGATTGAATTACCACGTCCCCTGAACAGAAATTGCCCACTGAAGTCTATCAAAAACACGAATTTCGAAATAGTTAGTAAAATAGTAAATGATTTAAATTTTAAATAATAGATAGAAAGTCAAGCAAACATGTTTATAGTACAAACTATTGTATTCAACTATTGTTTTCTCAGTCCTAGACCAGTTTGTGTCCCCTAGGAATTTGCCAAATGTCCCCTCTCGGGGACATGTCCCCCAAGTTGAAAACCGTTGGAATATACAAAGAGTCAAAGACAATTTATAAGAATAAAATAGCAAAGAATAACAGTACATTTATAAGTACAATTTCGTCAGGGACGCCGGAACTGGGGGGGCAGGGGGGGCGGCTGCCCCCCCTGCCTTTTGCTAGGGGGGGGCAGGGGGGGGCAGAAGTGCCCTTTTAGTTTTAAAAAATTACGTGATAAATCACATTTAGAACGATGGTTTTTGTCCGAAAATTATGAGATTCAGACATTTACAGTTTATATTTCACTTATGGTATGTCCGGAAAAAATCTTTGACCCCTAAAATGGTACACTGACCGAAATTTTTTTGGCGACGGGGGGGGGGAAGGGGGGGGGAGGTCGCCAAAATTTTTGGATAAAAAAAATAAATTTCGGAAGATTTTGAAGTTTTGCTTTAGAGAAGTGCCCTTGCTGTGGGTCCGCCCCCCTTTGCCTTATAATCGTTCCGGCGTCCCTGAATTTCGTCTACCATATTTTTTTTTATTATACCTTTGCTGATGTGCCTACTCTGTCGACTTTGAAACAAAGAGTTAGTCTTTTGATATAAAGAGTCGACTTTGAAACAAAGCTCGATTGAATGGAGTGAATGATGAACTTTCCACACGAGATATTTTCCTGGCGTATCAGTATTAAATTTGAGTTTCCTCATTTTCTAAATCATGATCAACAATGACAACATCGCCATCATTAATAATTCCATTTTTTGCTCCAATAAACTCGAATAAGTCGAATTCTATAAAAACAAATGATACAATCAGGAACGGCAATACGTTTATAGAAAAGCTGGCTTGTTTACGTTGCATTCGCGCCATATTTCCTGTAGAATTCCTCTTTTCCCGCGATTGGTGACAACAAAAGCAAAAATACCCCATTTTCAAACAACGATTACTCGTCGATTTCAGGGAGTTATTTATGTTTTAAGGTACCAATGGAAAGAGTAACCCTTACTGAATACAATGATGTGAATTTTATTGAATTTCCCGATTTATAAATTCCCCCTGCGTATATCAAGGCCGTTTTCGTGTCATGGCACTATACCCGGAATATACTCCATTTTCAAACCGCGATAACTCGTCGGTTGGAGGGGATTATTAATGTTTTAAAGTGTCAGCTAAAACCGTGACCCTCCCCGAATTCAATGATGTGAATTTTGCTGAATTTCCCGATTTATAAGATTAAACCCCCGGCGTATATCAATGCCATTTCTTTTATAGCCCCGAAATATACCCCATTTTCAAACCGCGATAACTCGTCAGTTATCGCGTATTTGTGTTTTGAAGTATCAATAGAAAGAATAACCCTTTCTGAATTCGATGCTGTAAATTTTGTTGAATTTCCTGATTTAAAAAGTATTTAACCCCCGGCGAGTATCGGAGGCACTTTTGTAACATGTGCACTGACCCGAAACCAAGGGTAATTCAATGCGTGATTAACACAAAGACGGATTTTT